AACGCTTGTAACCATGCTGCCTTCCCAGCACCAAGCTGCATTGTACATCCAATACAACATGTATACATTGTGAGTTTCCTTTCTCCATCCCATCCTGAGCATGAACCAAACATACCGAACCTTACAGTGTAAGGTCAGCATTAGAACTGTAAGCTTAAACTTGAAATGTGGTGAGATTAACTACAGTAACTAAGTACATCCTGAAAAACATAGAAACGCCAACCTTGGAGGTATTTTCAGGACCGAAAAAAATCGCGATATATGCGATTTTGTTTAAATTCTCAGTATTAGTACTCCCGAGCATGCCGATTCTGAACCTATGCTCGATAGATCGATTGCGGAGTAATTAGTGGTCGTAATGACGTTTGGAAGATTTTAATGACATTTTCCTCAATGCTAATTACTGTACTCGCCAACTATTTGTTTTCGAGGTGATTGGTTAGTGTTTTTATGTTCTTCTAGATGTACTTAATTACATCACCCATAATGGATCTTGAATATTTCAGTTGTAATCAGGTATATACATCTTATAGTAACACAGATGCATTCATTCATGAATTTAAATCTACAAGATCAACATGAGATACAAGAGAATCTGAAACACATTAGAGAAAACGGATGTATCGGTATCACTGAAACAGTGAGAAAACGGACGTCGCAGTTGGGGGACTCAATAAATAAGTTATAGCTACATGTTTTATGGGCGTACTTTTTACTTTTATCCTCTTCACCACTGATCGGCTCGTTAGCCGCCCGGGCGATCGGTCACGTCTCCGTTACGCACTGTTGGCAAGTACTGGGCATGCACCGGCTCCTGAATGTACCTGAACCTGCTCCAGTGTTGGTCAAGTCTGGTCTTGAAAGAACTCACACTCGGTGCCGTCACAACACTTTCTGGTAGACTGTATAATATGTAAGTTTGTATGGTTACCTGCCCAACTGTATTACTGTAAATAGGTTAAGGAAACTTAAAGGGGAAATTAACATATTTCTATTATATTAAGACACATGACACAATATTTGATTTTGTCATATTCTACACCTAGTTATTGCCGTGGGAAGGACCTCCTCACTCATACCATTACAATACCAGGATTAACACTTACTAATGACCGTCCTGCCGACCGAGGAGTATACTACAGGTACACGAGGCCTCACCTACTGTATGTGCCCCCACGCACCCAGCTTAAACTGAAAGTCCTGGGTTCAGAGCTCACCCGTAATTCACAGTTTGCCACTATCCAATCACAAGTCCATTTCCAAAGTTAATAGGCTTCCTTTCTGCATTGTGAATGGTCACACAATATCATGGGTGGAGACAGTGCCGGGTGCTCTTACCTGTGGAGTGCCCGCCTAGAGAAGCACAGTTGGCATGACTAATCGTGTAGAAATTACAGTATGTTTGGCAGGAGTTAAGAACTTAAGGCTAAACCTGAGCCAACCTGTGGGAACGTGTGTGTTATAGGAGTGGTCGGCGGGTTGTTATATGTGGGCGGTCATGGACAGTCTTTATGCTACAATTGAGTGCTGTAAAATTTTAATTTTTAATATGATACTGATATGTGAGTTGGATACTTGTATGTGTTAAGTTTGTTGTAATTATTTTAATTACTTGTGTCTATGGTAAGTGTGCAATAATTACTTAAGTCTGTATTGGATACTTAAGTGTGCAATGGCTACTTTAGTGTGTGCTGGGTGGAATGTTATTTAAGAATCTTAAGTGTGTGTATGCAAGTGGCAAGTGTGTTGTTATAATAATGTTATTACTGGGCTTCAATAACATTTTAAGCGCGTAGCAATGTTAGTAATGATACTATACTGTCAACAATAAAAAATGAGATAAGACGCTCTTGTTCGTTATGGGAGTCATTCAGCGTAAACAAGAACACACTAATAGTTAACTTTGTCACAACTAACAAATGTACACCAAGTTACCACAACAACGGGCGTAACGAAACAACTAGTTTAGTTTCATTTTATTTACACAAATATAATTACAAAAACTGTTTCGTGTACAAAGTGTTGAATATCCATAACGTTAACACACATTGCTCACTTTTAAACGCAATATATATATATATATATATATATATATATATATATATATATATATATATATATATATATATATATATATATATATATATATATATATATATATATATATATATATATATGTATATATATATATATATATATATATATAAATATATATATATATATATATATATATGTATATATATATATATATATATATATATATATATATATATATATATGTATATATATATATATATATATATATATATATATATATATACATATATCATATAGATCACAATGAAAACTTGGATAAGATAAATCTTGATAAAACATAGGAAAAGGAAACAACGGAGCACCTTTGTCTTTATTGAAGACATCTTGAATAAAGACGAAAGCTAAGGTGCTCCGTTGTTTCTTTTCCCGTGTGACTTTATCAAGATTTATCTTATCCAAGTTTTCATTGATCTATATGATATATATATATATATATATATATATATATATATATATATATATATATATATATATATATATATATATATATATATACCCTGTATACAGTCTCACCATGGCCAACAAAAAACATGTGACTATCGGGAAACGAACACCATAATCAAATATTTTTCGTTTCAACGGTTTGAATACCAGGAAATATATCAATGGTAGTGTATTACGTAGCTCCTGTTGCGGCCGACAACAAAATCCAATTAATTTTAATTGATAATATGTTGCAAGTAACTCAGGTAATGTAGGTTGGTAAGAATAGTTGGTCTGGTTGGGTCTCCAACCCGGGACAAGTGTTGCCGCCTCTCACAACCAGCTGAGCGTCAACTCTCACGCACCACCACCAATACTTACCTTAACAAACGACACAAGAGAAATTTATCAACAAAAACTTATGAACATCAGTCGCCCATGACAAATTCTAGGATTAATATAATTATAAGGTATTGGTGGTACACCGGTAAAACCCGCATTTCTCAACATTATGTCCTGGGTTGTTTTTTAGTTTAGTTTAACACATTTATTGGCAGGAGTCTTGGCTTGGGATAGATGTGGGAAGGGTTGCTATCCAGTGTGACTAAACCAAACATCACAGGTTTCCTCAGGGTACTCCGGCTTCCTTCTACTCACAAAATTCAGAACAAATTAACAAGGATTAGATCAACCGCCCGAACGGCTAGTGGCCGATAAGCGGTGAAATTAAAATCTCAGTAGCGGAAGAGAAGGTTGCCCCAGTCCCTTATGATCAAAAACTGTTATTATTTTTAACACCAGTGTGCTAAAGATCACTTCTGAAACCAAGAATTATTTAGGCAGTCTCGAGAAGTTTGAGTTTCAGTCTTCAAAAAAATAATGTACAGTAGATGTCGAGAAAAAGAAATGAATGTAACACATGCAGAGTTACAAATCACGAAATTCTTTACTGAATTATTTTCCAATGACACCAGCCGCCATCATTACCTCGGCGCTAAAACTCACACTAAATAATTTTTTCACGGGAACTTACTGACCGCTACCGCAGTCCTAAATTAAACAAAACCAAACCAATTTTCAACAACCTCAAGAAGTATCGTACAACCCAAATTAGGTTACGTTAGTAAATTTTTTAAATGTTAGTCTCATTATCCCATGTAAACAAAGGGACCCTGGATGCTATTGAAGACAAACACATTTATAAAAATTGCGCCTGGATCTAATTAACAAACGCGCTTTACTGCCCATTCTATCCACAGATGTAAAACATTAATATCTTTCCTCCAAACTGTCTCTGTTCTATTGGATAGATTTTTGCTTAACAGTGATATATAAAGGAGTAGATCACTGAAGACACAGGGCCGAGTACTAACTAGCCACTGAGGAATTAGGTGTAGCTCATCCTATCCTTCTTGAGAGAGCGAGGCGAGAAAAGGTTGAGTTATCAGTACAAACTCAACTTTTACTTTTATCCTCTTCACCACTGATCAGCTCGTTAGCTGCTTGGGCGGTCGGTCACGTCTCTATTATGTACTGTTGGCAAGTACTGGGCATGTATACTGGCTCCAGAATGTATCTGTACCTGCTCCAGTGTTAGTAAGGCCTGGTCTTGAAGGAGCTCACATTCGGTGCCGTCACAACACTAGCACATTGTTCCAAGAGTTTACAACTCTCACTTCGGAAAAGTTTGCCCGTACATTTACCTGATAACTTCAGGTTCCCGGAGCGTTGACAGTGATGTTGTAACCATGGTGACCTGGTAATTGTCGATATTGTAACCATGGTGACCTGGTAGTTGACGATATTGTAACTATGGTGACGTGGTAGTTGACGATACTCTAACTATGGTGACGTAGGAGGCTGGCCAGGGTGAGGGAGGGAGGGAGGGACGGGGGAGAGGTAGGGAAAAGGGAGGGACAGTGGGAGGGAGGGACGGGGGAGAGAGGGAAAGAGGGAGGGAGGGAGAGGGGGGGAGGTAACAACAGTGACCAGCACCGTCGACTGCAGTCTGTTGTCTCACAGTTCACTCATCGACCAACACTCCCCCCCTCCTCTCCCTCTCCCACACACTCACGGCTCGTGGCCTGTACAGCCCAGCCACTCATCACTCTTGCCTCTATCGTAACCTGGCCAGCAGGAAATAGTATAAATATACACAAGCACCAGACATCTTGACGTATGTTCCAGACACACGCTTTATCATGTACACATACTATTATTTTTTATTACAAAAGTTCACAGACTCTGTAGACAAACATGATTTTTTTGGGTGAGTAAAGCAGCTAGTGCTTTATTAATGCATCTCTGACATTGGGGATTTGACTGAGAATCTGATAAACAATAGATTTATCTTGTCCACGTTTCCATTGTGGATCTACAATATATATATATTATATATATTATATATATATATATATATATATATATATATATATATATATATATATATATATATATATATATATATATATATATCACAATGCCAGAGGAAAGTTGACCTTGCTAGACTCATTGTCTATTTTGCCTATTCGAGCAGAGGTATTTTCAGTCTACAAGATTGCGTTGGTGAAAGCCCAGTTGGAGCAGTAATGGCACATGTAACTTAAACACTACACAGAAAGGGGTATAATACACGGGGTGACGCCTCGTATAACGGCGTGGTATTGTACACAACGTACAGGACAGCTGCTTCAAGGGGAACTCAACCTCTCGTGGCGAGTTCATATAAATAAATTATGCCAACAATATTTGAAGAAAAAAATCAATACCGAACTGCTTTGAGATCTCACACAAGACGTCAGTACAACAACTACTTCATTACAACATACCTGTATACATACACAAAGGTGAAGGCATCACCCATCCAGTGAGAGGGACGAGTTATAATGTGTGAGTGGTGCAAGTCTTAATATCACCTATAACAGTAAACACAAGGTAACACACTGGTAACATTTCCACGTCTTCACACAAAACGTTATCCTCGTGTCGTAGTTGTTGTGGTGCAGAATTATCATCAGTGTGTTAGTGTTACATTGAGTTATTTCTATTATTTGGCTTATGAATAAGTCGGTTTCAACGTCAACCTGTTGCAACCACACTGTGACGATAACCCCACTGTGGCAACAACACCCACACTGACAATAACACCCACACTGTGACAGCAATAGCCCCACTGTGGCAACAACACCCACACTGTGACAATAACACCCACACTGTGACAACAATAACCACAGTGACAACAATAACCACACTGTGATAACAATAACCACACTGTGACGACAATAACCACGCTGTGACAACAATAACCACACTGTGACAACAACCACACTGTGACCTGTGACCACACTGTGATGCATTCAAGTTTCATGTTTAATTCTCCGCCTCTTAAGAACACGTCATGGGGCAGTAGGGAGCCACCGTCAGCTTCCCCAAATACTGGTCGAGGTGGACACAGTAACACAGCTCACTTCTACAACAGTGGTTTTCTCTCCTCAAGTTCAAAGTAGTTTTCCGCTCATGAACGAAGACAATTTAACTATATTCTCACTTTAGATTCTATCTGGTAAAGTTTTTCCTTTAGAATGGAGTATATCAGAGATGAGTTACACGTTCAAGAATAAGAATCAATAAACTTCACAATCTTCATTAGTCACAACAAACATCGTAATGATCCGGATACGCAATCACGAACGCAAGAGCACATACCCTTAAATCCACAGTACCTGTTACCCCTTGGTCTGACTGTGTCATACTCGAGTGTTTGCGCGTCTATCAGGTCAAGTTGTTACTCAGCACACTCAACAGGATACAGCCAACCACGTGAGATGATACAGATGGTGTTGTTGAGGATACAGATGGTGTTGTTGAGGATACAGATGGTGTTCTCGAGGATACAGGTGGTGTTCTCGAGGATACAGGTGGTGTTCTCGAGGATACAGGTGGTGTTCTCGAGGATACAGGTGGTGTTCTCGAGGATACAGGTGGTGTTCTCGAGGATACAGGTGGTGTTCTCGAGGATACAGGCGGTGTTCTTGAGGATACAGGTGGTGTTCTCGAGGATACAGGTGGTGTTCTCGAGGATACAGGTGGTGTTCTTGATGTAGGTGACATTCTTGTAACCCTAGGTAATGTTCTTGGGGATATAGGCAGCGTTCTCAAGTTCGAGGTGAGGTTCTACTGTAGAGGATACTGGGCGGCGTTCTTGATCTTGATGACCATTCTTGGAACCCTAGGTGACGTTCTCTAGGATCCAGGGCACGAACATAGATATCCTAGTACAGACGCCGGGTAGGTTGGGCTCGGCGCACCCAATGCCCCACGAGATGATACCCGCCAGGAAATAGCGACCGTCAGCACCACGAACCTGCAGAGGCCCTCCTGAGTCACCCTGCGGGACAACACACATCAGTCACTAGGGATAATAATAACAATATCATTCTAATGTCAATACTACTACTACTACTACTACTACTACTACTACTACTACTACTACTACTACTACTAATACTACTGCTACTACTACTACTACTAATACTACTGCTACTACTACTAATAATAATACTACTGCTACTACTACTACTACTACTAATAATAATAATAATGAAAAGAAGGATTTTAACACTAAACATATAAGAATAATATAAACAATGTCCAAGAATTTATGTCCGCCACTGAACACACTTGAGTCTTAACAAGTACGACAACACAAGTGTAAGTCAATCTGGAGACCTAAGGACACCCAATAAATCTAATTTTAATCTAAACTAGCTGGAGGGGTGTAGTGTGTGGTGGGGGTGATAGCTGGGGGGTTGTGGTGTGTGGTAGAGGGTGATAGCTGGAAGGGTGTGGTGTAGGGTGATAGCTGGAGGGGTGTGGTGTGTGGTAGAGGGTGATAGCTGGAAGGGTGTGGTGTAGGGTGATAGCTGGAGGGGTGTGGTGTGTGGTAGAGGGTGATAGCTGGAAGGGTGTGGTGTGTGGTGGAGGGTGATAGCTGGACCGGTGTGGTGGAGGATAAGAGCTGGAGGGGTGTGGTGGAGGGTGATAGCTGAAGGGTGTGGTGAGAGGAGAGGAGAGGGCGGGAGGAGCGGGGAAGAGCAACCACACGACCCGCTATGTCTTCAATAATAGCGCCTGTGGCTTGGCTAGCGTACACCTTCTTCCTTACTACAGTGTGTGTGTGTGTGTGTGTGTGTGTGTGTGTGTGTGTGACCCATGGTTTAGTGTCATGGGTCCGTGGGTTTGAGTAGCATCAAGTCTCTCCATGTAATAATTCACCTAAGAACTCAAGAGGGAAAAATATTTAGTGATAATGTTCCGCCACACATTTAACTCGTAAGTGTGGGTCATCCATAAAGCTTGGCATCCTCTCCCGTGCTTCTGGCTAGCTGGGGGGCTGGCTGCTGGTACAGAGAGAGAGAGGGAGAGATCTACTCCCTCTGTACTGTAATAATTCTTTCACCTCTTACTTCCGTTATATTCTACGATGTCGCCGCCCAACATGAACCACCACCACCAACCTGCCCTGTACTCTGCCTCTTACCATTATAATTACCACGGTCATGAGGCTTCTCTGTTCCTTATCGTCTACCTCCCCCCCTCTTCTTCCTATTCCTCCTTCTCCTCCCCCTCCGCTTTCTACTACTCCATCACCTGGCCCTAGCCTCCATAACTCCATCATCTGCTACTCCACATGGCCCTAGCCTCCACTCCATCATCTGGGCCCTACCACCATTATCTGGCCTCCCTCCACCACCTAGCCCTACCCTCCACATCACCTGGCCCTACCCTCCACCACCTGCCCTACCACTCTATCACCTGGCCCCTACCCACCATCTGGCCCCTACCCTCACCACCTACCTCCACCACCTGGTCACCCTCCACCACCCCAGCCCCTACCCTCCATCACCTGGCCCTACCCTCCACCACCAGCCCTACCCTCCATCACCTGGCCCCTACCCTCACCACCTGGCCCCTACCCTCCATCACCTGGCCCTACCCTCTGTCACCTAGCCCCTACCCACCATTATCTGGCCCTAGCCTCCCATCACCTAGCCCTACCCTCCATCACCTGGCCCTACCCTCTATCCACCTGGCCCTACCACCATTATCTGGCCCTAGCCTCCATCACCTGGCCCTACCCACCATTATCTGGCCCTAGCCTCCATCACCTGGCCCTACCCAACACAACTTTCTCACGCCTACCACCACCACCACCACCACCGAGGTAACAGGTGTTTGTGACTGCGAATTTCTGCCTCAGTCTGTAGCTCACAATCATTGAACATTGTCTTAGTATAAACATCGTGTAACCCCTCGCAGTAACGCGTTATTGGTAACTAACTCTCGCCTCCCTAGTTACATAACGTAACGCAGGAGTGACACACACACACACACACATAAAGTGGTAGGTATACTGTAGTACATGATGCATACATACATTCTCTCTCTCTCTCTCTCTCTCTCTCTCTCTCTCACCTTATACCCACTCCTACCCCTGCCCCTCTCCCCACCACCCATCTTTTCTCCCGAGTGTGGCCAGATGGTCAGCAGCAACAGATGGACTGACCGACCTAGTGATGCTGGCTGACTAGGGGGTGAAGGGGTGGTCTAAGGAAATGGGTTAGGTGAGGGGAAATGGGACTTCAGGGAAAGAGGCTGGACCTAGGGCTACACCACCACCGTCACACCACCAGGGCTACACCACACCGTCACACTCTACACCCAGTCACACCCAGGGCTACACCCCACCGCACACACCACCACCGTCACACCCCAGGGCTACACCACCGTCACACCTACAGGCACACCACCGTCACACCACCAGGGTCACACCCCCAGGGCTACACCACCACCGTCACTACACCAGGGGCTACACCACCACCGTCACACACTACACCACACACACCCCCTACCACCACCGTCACACCCCAGGGCTACACCACCACCGTCCTACACACCGTCACACAGGGCCCCAGGGCTACCACCACCGTCACACCCCCAGGGCTACACCACCGTCACACCCCAGGGCTACACCACCCGTCACACCCCCAGGGGTCACACCCCCCAGGGCTACACACCACCGTCACACCCCCAGGCTACACCACACCGTCACACCCCCTACACCACCACCGTCACACCCCCCAGGGCACCACCACCGTCACACCCCCACTACACCACCGTCACACCCCCCTAGGGTCACCGTCACACCTACACACCACCGTCACACAGGGCTACCACCGTCACCGGGCTACACCACACCGTCACAGTACACCACACCGTCAGGGCTACACCAGGGCTACACCACACCGTCACACCCCAGGCTACACCACCACCGTCACACCCCCAGGGCTAAGCCACACCACCACCGTCACACCCCCAGGGCTACACACCACAGTCACACCCCCCCCAAGGCTACACCACCACCACCGTCACACCCAGGCTACTCACACCCCAGGCTACACCACCACCGTCACACCCCAGGGCTACACACCGTCACCGTCACCCCCAGCTACACCACCACAACACACCCCAGGGCTACACCAAGCTACCACCACACACCCCCCACCCACCAGGGTCACACCCCAGGGCTACACCACCACCGTCACACCCCCAGGGCTACACCACCACCGTCACACCCCCAGGGCTACACCACCTCCGTCACACCCTCCGAGGCTACACCATCAGCAAGTGTCAGTGACCGCCAGTGGACCAGCTCGCGCCTTCGGTGGAAACTACACTAATATTGTACGACATTTCAACCTACTACCAATACTACTAATACTACTACCAATACTATTACCACCAACTACTACTACTACTACTACTACTACTACACGACTGTCCCTACTGCTATGGCTATGATTACTACCATCACTATTACAAATACCACCACTACTACTATTACCAATGGTACTATTACTATTATCACCACCACTACTAATACTACCACCAAAACCACCCCGACCAATACTACCACTAACAAAATCAGCACCACCACCACCAGCAGCTTACCTCTCACCAACACTCCTACCATAGTATTCCACCATTCAAACTTTATCCCCTCCACCACCCCCTTCAAATTATACCTACCCCTTCAATTCCCCCATTAACCCATTCTTCTAACCACCCATTATCACTCGCCACCCACCCACTCACCTTCATCCACTAGCTACAACAATCACCACCCACCCAACCATCTTTACTACCATTCACCACCCATCCTAATCACAATCACCACCCACTCCACCTACCACCCACCCACCACACCATCAGACGTCTTCATCTCACCCTCCACCTCCTGCCGCCCACAAGCAGCATTGAACTGTTACAAAGTGGCGATGTCTTCAATAATCTCAGTAGTTGTTTGTGACGGTCGTAGGGAGGGCGAGTGACGGTCTTAGGAGGGTCGAGTGACGGTTTTAGGAGGGCCGAGTGACAGTTTTAGAAGGGCCGAGTGACGGTCTTAGGAGGGGGCGAGTGACGGTCTTAGAAGGGGCGAGTGGCGGTCTTAGGATGGGTGAGTGACGGTTTAAGTGCCTTCATTATATTACTATTATTTAATCCTATCTTCCATTTATATACTATGATCATATCGCCCCTCAACCAATGTCTTTCAAGGGAATATAAATTCAGTTTTCTTAATTTGTCTCTACACTCAAGGTTCCTAATGCCTGGGATTAGCTTTGTCATCCTCTTCTGGATACTTTCTAAGGAATTAATGTTCATTCTATAGTAAAGTGACCAAAACTAACCCACATAATCCTAGTGAGGTCTCATATACGTGAGATATAGTTGTAACATAACGCTATAACACGGAGAAAATTGAACCCTTTGAGTACTATGACGACCAGAGTACAATATCATCGTACTCTAGGGATTATAGATCATAGTTTTCAAAGGTGTTAAGACATCTTATTCGAGGGATTAAGTTATTGTACTTTAAAAAAAAAATCATTCGTTGAACTCCTGGGGATTCGAGAGAACTCATCTAGTTACGGTAGAGTCTCAATGCAATTTCGGCGCCATCATGGTTGTCAGCCTTTGTACTGTGGTTTGAGGATGACTGTCAGAAGGTATTAACTCGTCTTCACTTACGGTGGGAATTTTTAACTTTGGAATATTTGGTGTCTAACATTGGCTTTGGTGCCGAGGGAGGGAGGGGAGTGAGGGGGGAAGGGGAAGAGAGGGGGAGTTAAGAGGCTGGGGAGTGGAGGAGATGGATGAAGAGAGGAGGAAGGGGTGAGAATGGAGGGGAAGAGGGATAAGAGAGGGGATTGATGAGGAGGGAGGATAGTGATGGAGGGGGAAATGAAGATTGAGAGGGAAGAGGAGGGAGGGGGAGGGAAGAAGGGAGAGGATGAGGATGGAGGGGAGTAAACGGAGGGAAGT